CAAGCCACCATCATCTCATCTGGATTACTGAAGTGGCCTTCTAAATGATCTGCCTGCTTCTACCCGAACCCCCACTGTCCACTCTCCACAACAGCCAGGATCATTGTGTACAAACTTAACTAGGATGGTGTTATTCCTCTGCTTAAAGCCTTCTGGGAGCTCTCCTAACATAGCATATAGTCAATAATCCTATATAATAAAAGCCTAATGCTAAGTGTCCAGTTGTCCATTCAACCAATCAAAGTGTAATATGCTAATGATATGCTAAGGCCACTCAATAGCTCGCTATGATGTGCACTGACCACCAGGGGGCAGACACTCTGACCAGTAGGTTAGCTTGCTGCTAGGGTCAGGCCAATCAGGACTGAGCAAGGTGGGCCAGACATTCCCTGGAGTCCTCCTGCTGGCCAACCTCCCATGTCCCTCCTCGGCCCTGATCATGCACTGGTGGGGTCCCTCAAGCTGGCCTGCACCCTCTCATAATCCAGGACCCCTCAGGGATGTCGGAGCCAGTTTTGACCCAGCCAAGGGACCCCACTGGTGCAGGAATTCATGCACCAACCCTCTGGTAGTGTAATAACTATGTATGGTGCCAGACAGGTGCTGGAAATATCAGGGGCATCACTCTGTAAAGTATATGATTGTCTAACCACTATATTGTACACCTGTAACTAATACAAAATAATACTGATTGTAAACTGTGTTTGGAAAAAAATTTTAAACCCTCCATTTCTCTAAGAAATAAAATTCTAAGTCTTTATAATAGGCCACAAGATCCTACATGACATGGTTCCATTATTTCAATCTCATTATCTACCAGATGCCCAGTGCACGAAATTCATGCACTTGGGGGGAGGGGGGGTGTCCCTCAGCCCAACCTGCACCCTCTCCAATCTGGGAACTGCCTGCTTAATGTTGTGACTCCAATACCCAGCACCAAGTAGGAGGAAAATTAAACAGGCAGTCGAGCCGGGACCGGTTAGTCGGCTTGGGGACTTAAAGGTCCCGGGTTCAATTCCGGTCAAGGGCATGTACCTTGGTTGCAGGTGCATCCCCAGTAGGGGGCGTGCAAGAGGCAGCTGATTGATGATTCTCTCTCATCAATGTTTCTAACTCTCTATCCCTCTTCTTCTCTGTGAAAAAATCAATAAAATATATTTTTAAAATAAATAAATAAACAAACAAACAGGCAGTCAGACATCTCTTTCACAATCCAGGACTGCTGGCTCCCAACTGCTTGCCTGCCTGCCTGATTGCCTCTAACTGCTCCCCTGACAGCCCAATCGTCCCCAACTGCCCTCCCCTGACAGCCCAGTCACCCCCAAATGCCCTCTCCTGCATATTCCCTCTTTATTAGTTAGGGTTTTTTTCTTTAACATATTGGACAGCCCTAACTGGTTTGGCTCAGTAAATAGAGCGTCGGCCTGCAGACTCAAGGGTCCCAAGTTCGATTCTTCTCAAGGGCATGTACCTTGGTTGGGGGCACATACTCAGTGGGGAGTGTGCAGGAGGCAACTGATCGATGTTTCTCTTTCATAGATGTTTCTTGCTCTCTATCCCTTTCCCTTCCTCTCTGTAAAAAATCAATAAAATATATATTTTTAAAAAAGAAACATTTAAGATTCCTCCATATCTGCCTGGCTAGTGTGACTCAGTGGCTGAGACCTCAGGCTGCTGGGAGGGGATCACTCTGTGGGGGTATGGCACCTCCAAAGCTAAGACCTGAGACTGCAGGTTTGTGTGTGTGTGGGATCACTCCATGGGGAGTGAATTTGGTGTGTTTTTTTTTCTTATAAAGTGTCAGGAGGACCTCTGCAAAGCTTTCCGCCAGACAGACTCTGGCCTGAGTCTGCAGCGAAGACGAAGAAGGCAGACTCGGCCGCCGGAGCGAAGGCCTGGGTCCCAAGTGCCGGAGGAAAACTGGTGCTGGAAGCCAAGGGAAGGAAGGCCTACTGCACAAATCTCTTCGTGCAACTGGCCTCTAGTGAATGTATAAGTGGAACAATAATTTTTTTTTTCTCTCTCTCTCTCAAAATAAAGAAGACTACCACTAAAAGTAATAATTTTTAAAAACAGAAAAATAAACTATATCAACATTTTTCAGACAAGAATGCAGAGGACCTTGAGAATTCATTCACACACTTTAGCTTAAAAATTTAAAAACATTACATGTTAAAATTAGGTGATCATTTGGGGTCAAATGTAAAAAAGCAGACACTTTTGAAATTGCATGGTAAGACTTGGGTATAAAGTGATCATCCATCCATTGATCCAAAACAATGCTTATATTAATATTTTAGACCTTATCAAAATGAAAAACATAAACCTTAAAAAAATCTTACCAATTGCCAAGAATATATCCAAGCATTGAAATTTTAAAAAACCTAGTATGGAATAAGTTTAAATAAATCTGATGTGGTAACTTTCTAATTTCCTATGCTTACTTGAAGTTTGGAACTCAATACATTTTATCTAGACTTTAATTTTGTTATTACAAGAATAATACTTTGAAATCACTCTACCATTAGCCATATTTATAAAAACACTAATATTTTAGCTAAAACTTTATAAATGCTACACTATACTACAGTCGAGCTGCTTCCCTATTAAAAGCATATATGTTAGTTTCATTTCTTTTCAGTAGGGGATAATCTGAATTTAAAGTGTGTATATGTGTATGGAGAGAGAGAATAAGAATTTAAAAAAGAAAAGAGAGAGAGAGAGAGAGAGAGAGAGAGAGAGAGAGAGAGAGAGAGAGAGAGAGAGAGAGAATTTTAAAAAAATAAAAATAAATCCCTGAGATGTCCCAATATAGTTGGAGCAATAGTGTTGGGGTTCTAATAAATAAAAACCTACACAAAGGACACCTTACTTCTTGACAAGATTTCCAACTATCTCTTAGGCCGCAGTGTTCCCCAAACTTTTGACATATGTGTACCCCTTCTATAATTTTCGTAACGCTGAGTACCCCTCGTACTCATGAGAACGTATAATTAGGCGCAGCTAAGCACGGTGCAGTGCATATCCCCACCAAACTCCAGTGCAATGCGTACCCCCAAACTCTTCCCATACCCTTGGGGGTACGCATACCACACTTTGGGAAACACTGTCTTAGGGGGGAAAGTTGTTTCTGAAACTAGTTACTAGCGATGTATCTTAAGCATTCCGGCAAGAAAGGTAAATGTTTAGGTGTCAGTTTTTTCTTAGATAACTAAATGATCAAAACAATCATGGTACTTAAAGTGATTTCAGAGCACAACTATCTGCATCTGCCAGGGAAATCCTCATTATATTTTACTAATGATGAAAAGGCCTTGGGAAAATGGACCACCGTCCTTCCCTAAAGACTTACAAACACTTCTGGGGGTTAGGGGTGTCCAGTTGCCCTGGAACACTACCCCTTTCACAGTGTTTTTCACCTGAAAACTCAAAAAGATTTAGGGAGAAAAGCAGGATTGTTTCTTGGCCTGGAAGAAAAAGGGAACTACTACAAAAAATACTGCTTAATCATTATAAGTTCTTATAAGTGGATTTGTTCCCCCCTCAGGCCTCAGGCCCTGGTTTACAGATTTCCTCATTTCTCAATGAATCCTTTAGTAGCTTGATTCATGATGTAACATTTCTAAGAAAATCAATACTTAATCATGCAGCATTCTTTACAACAGTCAAAATATGGAAACGATGGAAGTTCCCATCAATGGATGAAAGAATAAGGATACTAAGCATATAAACATGGAATGTTACTCAGCCATAAAAAAAAATTTTTTTTTTAAATGGAATCTTGCCATTTGGGATAGCATGTATGGACCTTAAGGGCACTACGCAGAGAAAGACAAATAACATATGATTTCACTCACATGTGAAATCTTAAAACACAAAACAAATCAAAACAAGACAAAGGCAAAAGGCCAAACTCTTCGATACAAAGAGCACATTGAGGGTTTGCGGAGGGGAGTGCAAAGGATTGGTAAAGGGAGTCAAAAGGTACAAATTTCCAGTGACAAAGAAGTCACCGGGATGAGAGGTACAGCAGGGTGACTATGGCTAATAATACCGCACTGAAAGTTGTTAAGAGTACATTTTAAAAGTTCTCATTACAAGATTAAAAAAAAATGATGTATGAGAACAAATGGTAACTAGACTTCCTGTGGTGTGCAGTTTGCAGTGTACACAAATATCGAATCACTATGTTGTACGCCTGGAACTCATATAATGTTATATGACAATTTTGTCTCAAATAAAAATAGTTTTAAAAAATTTAAATGAAGTACTTAAATCCTCGGGATCCATTAAAATAAAGCAGGATTGTCCTGCTACCCAGGACACATGTGTACGAAGACTCTCCCTTGTCGGGGACCCCTCTTCCCAAGCCCCTGGATGCTGGTTCTTTACCAAATACAGAACCGGACCTCACCGGGACCGGTCCCCGGGGACCAAACACAGAACCGGACCTCACCGGGACCGGTCCCCGGGGACCAAACACAGAACCGGACCTCACCGGGACCGGTCCCCAAAGACGGCTCTTTCCCCTTCACTTCTGCCCTCGGAACTGCTCCCTCAGCTCGGTCCGGCCACGGCTCCTGCCCACCCCGGTCCTGCAAGACCCCGGGGTGCCCCACCACCACCACCACCACCCAGGGGCCCGGTGCAGACGCCACAGCTCCTAACCCCGGCCACGGCCTCAGCACCGGTCCCCTCCGCCCCCTCTCCTGTCCCCTCCTCTGAGACACTCGGCCGCCTCCGTTCCCGCCGGCACCATCCCGCAGCCTCCGACCGCACCGCCGCCGCCGCTCCCCGCTCCCCGCCCCCTGCGCCCCGGCCAGCGCCTCTCCGGCCGCGCGGGGACCCCTCCGGACAGCCCCTCTCCTCGGCCCAGCGGAGCCCCCGGCCCATCCGGACCGCGGCTTCTCGGAGGCGCCCTTCCCCGGGCTCCGCCGGGCTCCCTCCCGGCCCGCGCCCCGCGAGTCCCCGGGTCCCCCGCAGCCGCCGCGCCCCTTTACCGCTCGTCACTGCGGCGCACGCCAGCAGGAGCGTCAGGACCAGCGGCCGCTCCACACCCGCGGGGCCCGGGGTGCCGGGTCTGGGCGGCAGCTTCGCAGGCACAGCCCCACTCATCCTCCTCAGGGCGGCAGCGGCCATAACGGACTCTGCCCGGAACCTGCGCGGTAGCTAGGCTCTGCGTCGTGACGTCGGACCCTGCGTAAAACGTCAGGGCCCGGAGTCCCTACGTCCCAGCGTGATGACGTTGCCGCCTGGCGCGGGCTCTAGAAAGGGAAGGAGGAAGGGTGGTGGGAGCTGGGGCAAAGGGGAGCCCCTCCCCTCCCCTCCCCTCCCCTCCACTGGGCTGCGGTTTGAGGAGGGGATAGGTAAGGTGTGAAGAGGGTCTGGGGCGAGCCTCTCCCTGCCTCCCGCATGATGGGATACCGCACAGCTAATTGGTGTGTGTGTGTGTGGGGGGGGGGGGGGGGGAGGAAGGGGGTTGGTTTTGTTTTATTTTTTTTTTTTTTTTTTTTTAAATCAATCTTTATTGTTCATATTATTACAAAGGTTCCTCATTTCTTCCCCCCTCCACCAGGTTCCCACCCCACCCTCCGTCCCGCCCCCATCCCCCATTGTCCTCATCCATAGGTGCAGTTTATGTTCAGTCTCTTCTTCCCTCAATTTCCCCAATAGTAAATCCCTTTTCAGATAGTAAATCAGTTACTTAGCATTTTCTCATATCAATAATACCTCCACATGCCCAATGATACACTTCACACAAAAGACATTTCCCACTAGGTCAACCAGCCTCATCCAGGCCCCACCGAAGGCACTCACAGATCAACACCCCAGTCCTAAACTAACTCAACACATCCAGATCTAAGCCTTCATCACTTGATTCAGCAGACCCTCAAGTTCCCACGAAAGTTTCCAGCCATGTCTGAGAAGCAGCCGTGGGGCAGGGGCAGGCAGGGAGCGAGCTGTTCTGGGCCTGGCTGCTCAGGGCCTGGCCTCTGTTGCTCTGGTTCATTCCACAACCAGCTGCTCCGGGTCTGGTCACTGCCGCTCCCGACCTAGTTGCTCTGGACTTGGCTGCTGCTGCTCCGGGCATGGCCGCTCCCAGCCTGGCAGCCGCTGCTCCGGGCCTGGCCGCACCCGACCCGCCTGCTCCCCCGGGCCTGGCCGCTCCCAGCCTGGCAGCCGCTGCTCCGGGCCTGGCCGCACCCGACCCGCCTGCTCCCCCGGGCCTGGCCGCTCCCAGCCTGGCAGCCGCTGCTCCGGGCCTGGCCGCACCCGACCCGCCTGCTCCCCCGGGCCTGGCCGCTCCCAGCCTGGCAGCCGCTGCTCCGGGCCTGGCCGCACCAGCCCCGCCTGGTCCCCCGGGCCTGGCCGCTCCCAGCCTGGCAGCCGCTGCTCCGGGCCTGGCCGCACCAGCCCCGCCTGCTCCCCCGGGCCTGGCCGCTCCCAGCCTGGCAGCCGCTGCTCCGGGCCTGGCCCCACCCGACCCGCCTGCTCCCCCGGGCCTGGCCGCTCCCAGCCTGGCAGCCGCTGCTCCGGGCCTGGCCGCACCCGACCCGCCTGCTCCCCCGGGCCTGGCCGCTCCCAGCCTGGCAGCCGCTGCTCCGGGCCTGGCCGCACCCGACCCGCCTGCTCCCCCGGGCCTGGCCGCTCCCAGCCTGGCAGCCGCTGCTCCGGGCCTGGCCGCACCCGACCCGCCTGCTCCCCCGGGCCTGGCCGCTCCCAGCCTGGCAGCCGCTGCTCCGGGCCTGGCCGCACCCGACCCGCCTGCTCCCCGGGCCTGGCCGCTCCCAGCCTGGCAGCCGCTGCTCCGGGCCTGGCCGCACCCGACCCGCCTGCTCCCCCGGGCCTGGCCGCTCCCAGCCTGGCAGCCGCTGCTCCGGGCCTGGCCGCACCCGACCCGCCTGCTCCCCCGGGCCTGGCCGCTCCCAGCCTGGCAGCCGCTGCTCCGGGCCTGGCCGCACCAGCCCCGCCTGCTCCCCCGGGCCTGGCCGCTCCCAGCCTGGCAGCCGCTGCTCCGGGCCTGGCCGCACCAGCCCCGCCTGCTCCCCCGGGCCTGGCCGCTCCCAGCCTGGCAGCCGCTGCTCCGGGCCTGGCCGCACCAGCCCCGCCTGCTCCCCCGGGCCTGGCCGCTCCCAGCCTGGCAGCCGCTGCTCCGGGCCTGGCCGCACCAGCCCCGCCTGCTCCCCCGGGCCTGGCCGCTCCCAGCCTGGCAGCCGCTGCTCCGGGCCTGGCCGCACCAGCCCCGCCTGCTCCCCCGGGCCTGGCCGCTCCAAGCCTGGCAGCCGCTGCTCCGGGCCTGGCCGCACCAGCCCCGCCTGCTCCCCCGGGCCTGGCCGCTCCCAGCCTGGCAGCCGCTGCTCCGGGCCTGGCCGCACCCGACCCGCCTGCTCCCCCGGGCCTGGCCGCTCCCAGCCTGGCAGCCGCTGCTCCGGGCCTGGCCGCACCCGACCCGCCTGCTCCCCCGGGCCAGGCCGCTCCCAGCCTGGCAGCCGCTGCTCCGGGCCTGGCCGCACCCGACCCGCCTGCTCCCCCGGGCCAGGCCGCTCCCAGCCTGGCAGCCGCTGCTCCGGGCCTGGCCGCACCAGCCCCGCCTGCTCCCCCGGGCCTGGCCGCTCCCTGCCTGGCAGCCGCTGCTCCGGGCCTGGCCGCACCCGACCCGCCTGCTCCCCCGGGCCTGGCCGCTCCCTGCCTGGCAGCCGCTGCTCCGGGCCTGGCCGCACCCGACCCGCCTGCTCCCCCGGGCCTGGCCGCTCCCAGCCTGGCAGCCGCTGCTCCGGGCCTGGCCGCACCCGACCCGCCTGCTCCCCCGGGCCTGGCCGCTCCCAGCCTGGCAGCCGCTGCTCCGGGCCTGGCCGCACCCGACCCGCCTGCTCCCCCGGGCCTGGCCGCTCCCAGCCTGGCAGCCGCTGCTCCGGGCCTGGCCGCACCAGCCCCGCCTTCTCCCCCGGGCCTGGCCGCTCCCAGCCTGGCAGCCGCTGCTCCGGGCCTGGCCGCACCCGACCCGCCTGCTCCCCCGGGCCTGGCCGCTCCCAGCCTGGCAGCCGCTGCTCCGGGCCTGGCCGCACCCGACCCGCCTGCTCCCCCGGGCCTGGCCGCTCCCAGCCTGGCAGCCGCTGCTCCGGGGCTGGCCGCACCAGCCCCGCCTGCTCCCCCGGGCCTGGCCGCTCCCAGCCTGGCAGCCGCTGCTCCGGGCCTGGCCGCACCCGACCCGCCTGCTCCCCCGGGCCTGGCCGCTCCCAGCCTGGCAGCCGCTGCTCCGGGCCTGGCCGCACCCGACCCGCCTGCTCCCCCGGGCCTGGCCGCTCCCAGCCTGGCAGCCGCTGCTCCGGGCCTGGCCGCACCAGCCCCGCCTGCTCCCCCGGGCCTGGCCGCTCCCAGCCTGGCAGCCGCTGCTCCGGGCCTGGCCGCACCCGACCCGCCTGCTCCCCCGGGCCTGGCCGCTCCCAGCCTGGCAGCCGCTGCTCCGGGCCTGGCCGCACCAGCCCCGCCTGCTCCCCCGGGCCTGGCCGCTCCCAGCCTGGCAGCCGCTGCTCCGGGCCTGGCCGCACCAGCCCCGCCTGCTCCCCCGGGCCTGGCCGCTCCCAGCCTGGCAGCCGCTGCTCCGGGCCTGGCCGCACCCGACCCGCCTGCTCCCCCGGGCCTGGCCGCTCCCAGCCTGGCAGCCGCTGCTCGGGGCCTGGCCGCACCCGACCCGCCTGCTCCCCCGGGCCAGGCCGCTCCCAGCCTGGCAGCCGCTGCTCCGGGCCTGGCCGCACCAGCCCCGCCTACTCCCCCGGGCCTGGCCGCTCCCTGCCTGGCAGCCGCTGCTCCGGGCCTGGCCGCACCCGACCCGCCTGCTCCCCCGGGCCTGGCCGCTCCCAGCCTGGCAGCCGCTGCTCCGGGCCTGGCCGCACCTGACCTGACTGCTCTGGGCCCGGCTGCCCCGGGCCCGGCCGCTCCGAGCCTGGCCACTCCCGACCTGGATGCTCTGGGCTTGGCTACTGCTGTTCTGGGTCTGGCTGCTCCCATCCCGGCTGCTCTGGGCCCGGCCACTCCGGGTCTGGGTGTTCCTGGACTGGCCACCCTGGGCTTGGCCGCCTCCGCCTCATGCCTGGCTGCCACTGCCCCAGTTCTGGCTACTCCAGTGCTGGCTGTTGATGCTCTGGTTCTGGCTGCTGTTGTTCTGGGGCCTGGCCGTTGCTGCTCCGGGCCTGGCTGCCACTGCCTTGTGCCTGGCCACTCTAGGCCTGGCCGTCGCTGTTCCAACATTCTGTCCTTTTTTTTTCTTTTTAAAACACATTTATGTTGCAATGTTGGCTGGTGAGTTGAGTTCTGACTTAGTCTTTGATTTTTCAAGATCTTCTTTGTATTCTTTCTTAAGTAATTTTACTATTTTTTGCTCTCACTTGATTTCTTCACATTGAGAACTTCTTTGGTTTCTTCCTCCTTGTCCTGGGAGCTCAGCAGGTTGGCCTGTGGCACCCCTTTGTTTTCCGCGGGCTCCTGTGCTGCTTCAGCCTGTTGCTGGGACGGCGCCGCCCAGGAAGCAGCCCCAGGCCTTGGCTCCATTGCCGGAGCTCAGTGGTCAAAGGCTCAGGGGCACCCACGCCCCCATGGGCCTCGTGGCCCGCCTCCTTGCTGGTGCCCGGTTGGCTGGAGTCCGGCAGGGGCTTCCGCTCCCCTCCGCGTTCCCCCAGCCTAGAGCTTTTTTTTTCTCCTTCCCACTAGGGAAGTCCAGCATCAGAGTCAACAGATTGTCCTCTGCGCGCAGTTTGCGCGAGTCCCACAGACTGTCCTCTGCGCGCAGATTGCGCGAGTCCCACAGACTGTCCTCTGCGCGCAGTTTGCGCGAGTCCTGGGGGCCCGGCCTTTCGCCGCTCTCCCCGGACTCCACCTCACAGCCCCGTCTCCCTCTGCCTGAGCCTGGGTCCCCAGGGATTGGCCCAGAACTGGGGTTCGGAGCAGTCCGGACTGAGGCTCAGCGCCGCCGGAGGCCTTGTTTCTTCCGGCTAGGGCAACCCAGCATCAGAGTCAACATTCAGTCCTCTGCGCGCATTGCGCGCGACTCCCGGGGCCCTGCCTTTCGCCGTTTTTCCGCCTCACGGCCCTGTCTCCTCCCGCCGGAGCCTGGGTCCCCAGGGTCTGGCCCATAACTGGGG